AAAATAAATAAATAAATAAATACAATATCTGTTTTCACAGGATTGTTATTATGACTAAATAAGATACTATATGCAAAGAGCTTATACCCAGGAAGTTGCATTGAGTAAGAGTTCAATAACAATAATTTTTGGTACCAGAGATCTAACTCGGTCCCTTGCACTTGTGAGGCAGGTGGCAGAACCACTGAGTTAAATCGTTGGCCCAATAAATAATATTTTCAAGAGATTGTGTTACTTGGGAGACAGGCCTCGTAGATAGACCTGCATCCACAGGGGATATACCAAGTTCCTCCATTAGCATACATTGTGCTGAAAACAGATTGATATGATAAATTATGAACAAAACCTTTAGACTCTGTGGCTGACTTGTTTGTTTCCGACCGCATTTCTGGGCATATACGTGACTGGTATAAATCTACCTAAACAGAAACTCTATAGGAACCTCTAACAAGGCTGGGAAGAAGGAGGACCCACAAAGGAGAGGTTTGCATGTTGAAGGTTTTGTGGGAACATGGTCTGTGCTGGCCAGATGCACCCCAGATTACTTCGAGTCTTCAGGGGAAGCACCTGGAGCCCTGCCTGTCTCAATCCTCTCTCTGCTGACTGCCAATAACCCTCCTTCTAGGGAGTACAGTGTTAACAGCTTCACCTATAAAAATCAGTAGGCCAGGCATGGTGGCACATGCTCATAATCCCAGCTTGGGAGGCTGACAAGGGAGAATCATGAGTTTGAGGCCAGCTTCAGCTGCCTAGTGAGAATTTGTCTCAACAACAACAACAAAAACAAACAAAGCAAAACAAAATTCTGCCCAGATTCTAAAGCAACACATCTTTAGGACACAGAAATAGAAATAGGAAAGTTAGGATTTAGGTAGGTGTTTGAATCCTGACTCCAAGATTTTTCTGTTGTGTGACCTTCAGCAGTTCGTTTATCCCTGAGCCTGTATTTCCTTATCTATAGAAGGAGATACTAAGTGCATAACACCTAGAGGTTATTGTGAGGGACAAACATACAGTGTATGTTAGGTAACTGGAGGATTGCCTGGCATATAATATATATTTAATAATGACAGCTATTAAGATAGTTTTGGGGTTGGATGTGATTACACCTGTAATCCCAGAACTCTATGAGGCTGAGGCAGGAGGATCAAAAGTTCAAGCCCAGCTTGGGTTATTTTGTGACTCAAAAAAAGACGGGGATGGGTGTGAGGGTGAGATGAGAGGTGGCTCAGTGCAAAGGCCCTGTGTTCAATTCCCAGTAACACACACACACACACACACACACCCCAATAGTTTTGGTAACATCCATAAATGAATTTTGCTGTCCTTCATACCTACTTTAGATTTTGGAGAGGCTCCATGACTCCATTTTCACAATGAAATCTAAATTCATCTGCTACCAAAGGTTTCCTTAGTCAGATACTTGGAGAACAATACCCTGGTTAAATTAGGGCAAGGGTGATGTTAAAAAATTAAGAGGAGGGCTGGGTGGTAGCTCAGTGGTAGAATGCTTGCTATGTATACATAACACCAGTTGGGTCACTAGCACTATAAACAAACAAAAGGACATACCTACATGATTGTCCAGGTTTGTAAAATTACTCCTGATTTAAATTTTTAAAAATCAGGCTGGGTGTGGTAGCGCACACCTGTAATCCCAGCACTGGGGAGGATGAAGCAGAAGGATTGATGTGAGTTCAAGGCCAGTTTGGACTACACAGTGACATTCTATCTCAAAACAAAACATCCAAAAATTGTTTTAAAATTTAATAATTTCAGGTTCCCAACAGCCTTTTTTGATAAATGCTACTACTTATTACTACTATCTTCAGATTCTTTTTCAAGAGTCAATTGAATTCAACAATCATGTGAGGGCTGGGGCTTTAGCTCAGTGGTTCTGCCACCTCCAGGCTGACAAGAGAGAATCATGAGTTTGAGGCCATCTTCAATCACAATCATCATGAATAACCAATCATGTGAGTAATCGTTTGATATTAGGCTCTCTGGTAATCACTAAAAATTCTGGGATGTGTAAGACATGATTTTCTTTTTTGGCTGCTAGGGATTGAACCCTGGGCCTTGTACATGTTAAGCATGCATTCTATTACTGAGCTACACCCATGGCCTAAAGAAAACAATTTTTGCAGAAGGAATTACAAAATTTCCCAGAATTATCTTCACTACCCCATTTCCCCCATACCTTTTTTTTTTTTTTTGGTTTTTTTTGAGACAGGGTCTCACTACGTAGTTGAGTCAGACCTGGAACTCACTATGTAGCCCAGGCTGGTCTTGAACTCCCAGCGATCCTCCTGCCTCAGCACCCCCATACCTTTTAAGAGGCTGATCAATCTGGTTGCTGGTGAGACCCTCTCCTGTGTCTCTTCAGACATTCACTAAATCTGGCCCTCCCTAGATCCTAACACAACTAAACTCCACTGCTAATTCTCACATGTTTTCTACTTAGTGCCTATGAATTTCATCTCCCAATCAGATCATAAGTAACTCCAGGGCCCGAGTGTTCTATTAGTTATGTTTTGTTTGTTTTTGTTTTTTGAGACAGGATCTCAAAATCCATGTTCACCACCACAACTGGCTATTAGTTCATTTTCTATTCCATAATACCAGCCATTTTGTCATTTCTCCTTTTGATTATTCATGATTGTGAATGAAAATTATGAGTCTGTATGAAACAGACTTGAACTTATCCCTCTATGTCAGTTAGGTCTCAAGCAGGTTTCTGGCAAATGCTACATTTTCATACCGTTATATGATTCACTCAGGAAATTTCCTTTTTGCCTTTTAATTTTCTTTTTCCACAGTGTTGACAATGAACACCAGATCACTGAATTCTCCACGGAAAATACAAGTTCTATTTTTACATTTGGTCTTGAAAGAACTTGAATCAGTGTCTACTTGGAAATCCCTTTAAAAGAGAACAGGGCAGCTCCTTGGCACATCTGCAACTCAGCAGCCCCTCAGGTGAACAGCAAAAAGGATTTTGCACTCATATCATCCTACAGGGGAAATATGTTTCTTATCCTAGCTTGAATGGGGAGAGGTAATATAGTTCCCATTAATTCTACAAGGATCCACACACTTTGGAAAAATATCCTGATCTCTCTGAAATCACATACTACATTAAGACTCTTTTTCCTGTAGAATTCCACAGCTGTTATTTTAGTTTTTGCAAGGTCACCGTGGGAGATTTGGGACTATTCTTACATTGAAGTATGGTTTATGAAGTCACAGACATATCAGGAGCGACATCCATCTCACCACAATTGAACTTACACATGAAGATTCCCACTTACTCAGTGTTAGAAAAATGTTAAAGAAATGGAAACCTCACTACACATATAGAAAAATACCCTCTACCTGTAAATACCTGAACATGTGGGGGAGGAGTGAGCAAGTGTGTGTACATGTAGGCCTGCACATCTGTGTGTGAATGAGAACCTTCCCAAGGGAGGGGAAGGCTTAATCCTATCAGTTGAATTGATGAAAGGTAACAGGCTCGGGCTATTTATAGACCTTAAATTGGCAGGTGCTATACATAATGAGTACCTGGCTGATCTCATTTTTCAGAGAATTTCAGATAAAGTAAAGGAGATTCCCCCCCCCAAAAAAAAAGTAAGAAAAGGTAACAAAAGGTTCAGATCACTACTACACTTTTTTAAAAACAGCATTACATTTTTTGTAACTGTAGATGCCTGGAAAAGTTCTCATAGTCAAAAATTACATGAAGTGGGATTCCATTTTGAAAAGGGACTAGAGACAACAAGAATCACTTAAATCTGGGTGTGGAGGCAAAGAGGATTATCTGAATACTGTACTGATTTTACTTGACTTCAAGGGTGTTGTTCTCTGGTATCACTGTTGCTCAGATGCCAAAACATCTAAGAGCATGGAACACGGTATTAGCCAGAGGAACTGCTTTCTAGAGCATGAGGACCCCGGAATCCTTCACAGAGGAGCTCCAAGAGTGATGGCACAGAAACACATCTGGGCCTGACCATCCCACACCCCTTTCGATGGGAAGAAAGGAAGGTCCTCTACCAAGATAGCAGAGAAAGCTCTCACTCTCTGAAGTGAGAGCAGGAATGAGCCATTGCCCAACGCCCATCTCCTGGAAAGAGGAGGATACATTGTTGTCTGGAGTCAGAGTTGTTATGTGGGGTCCCTGCCCAGTTGAGTGTAGACAGGGAGGGGGCTTCAGCAGGGCCTGCACTTGGAGCCACCCAGGCTCCTCACCTTCAGAGCCACCAAGGTTGAGCACACATTTACCTGTCAGCTCCTCCTCCTCGCTAGCTACTCTTGATTCTCTCCTAGACCCTCACAGGATCTTCCTGGGGTGTTAGGAGTCATGTGGATTTTAGTAGGCAACTAAAGAAACTGCACACTATTCATCACAGAAGAGCAGTCTGTCCTCCCTTCCACAATTTTCTCATCTGTGAAATGGGAATAACAGCCCTGTCACCTCCACTTTACACCGTGAAAGCTCTGTATTGGCTGGAAAAGGTTATAAAAACCCAAGGCATTAACCTCTGGACGCTGATGCTATTTTTTATTGCACATCCCACAGCTTCCAATAACATCAAACAACAAAGTATCTACTCGATGTGCTTTAAAAGCCAATCTACAGCCTGCTGAGGGCGGCTGCATACAAGCTAGTTTAAAAATCAGGTCCCCGAGCCTGTATCAAACAGAAACTCCAAGAGAAGAGCCAGGAGACCTAGATTTTTAACAAGCTCACAGGCACTGTTGGTATGCACAATCCGCCAGGTCCGCGACCCCTATTTGTTCTATTCTATGGCTAGAGCTGTGCAGCCTGGTTTGGAGCACCGGATGTGAGACACAGACCAATTCCAGTATTTTTCAAACTTGACCAGTGGAGATGGGTTACGAGACAAGAAGCAAAACTGGAGCTTTAGAGGGATTAAAGCCAACGGCGCACCCCTTCAGAGGGTCCGGCCGGGCAGGTGGGGCGAGCAGGGACTCACCTACGATGATCCCACAGGCGCTGACCAATCCGATCTCTTTCTTCAGGGCTACCCTGCCCCCTCCGGAGCCGGCCCCCGGCTCGGCCTCCGAGTCGCCCCCACTAGTGTGGTTCTTCTCCGCGATGTTTCGGTGCCTTGCTCCTTTTTCCATCTTTCTCAGTAGGGTAGGATTCCAGCCTCCAAAAGCAACCTGTCTTTTAGCGCGTGCGCGTTTAACTACACGGAGGTAGGGAAAGACTTTTCAAATTTAAATGCCCCTTTCCGAAATCGGGACCACTCCTAACCTCTGACAAAACAAGCAGATAAAAGGGACAACTGAAAATACTCCTTTATACTGACACTTCCCTGTCACCTCTGCTTACCAACAAGGACCGTGTCGTTTGAGGAGATATATATTTAAGTGTAAAAATAGTGCAGTTTCGCCGGTCCAGCTGGAATTCTCCTGAACCGGGTGTCTTCGAAATTAGGATGACTCTGGTCCGTGCAAAAAGACAGCCAGGATTTCGCTTCAGCTCTCAGGGTCTGTCTTTGCCTCCCCTTGGTCCTTTCGTTCTGATGAGGATATAGTCGTCGCTAATTGAGATGCGGGAAAGGGCAATCTTCAGGTACTTTCTTCTCGTCCAGAAAAACAAAGCTGCAGACCTGGCCGGTTGGCTCTAGGTCTGGTTTCCACCTGCTCAGACCAGCCTCTTCCCCGAGCAGCTTCCGCTTTTGCAGAGGTCCTTTTCTCTCTTCCTCCTCGCTCGGGGCTCACAGCACGGGCTGCTCCATCGCCGATCTGCAGGAGAGCGGCTCCTCCGCACGCGAATGAGCTTCCTTTTTAGTCAGGGGTTTTATTCGCGGATCAGGCTCCGCCCCCAACTCCTCCATCCTGAGTCCCTTCTCTTCCTCCTCCTCCTCCTCCTCTTCCTCTGCAATTTAAATATCACAGAGCCCCCCCAGAGATCACCGCCCAGAAAAAGAATGAAAACCTTTCTCATTGTAATAATCGCTTTCTCCTTGCACCGAAGTGGAAGTAAAAAATCCTTTCATGTCAACCTTTTCCTTGGAGCTCGTTAGCTAGTATTTCATTACGGGTCGTGCGGCATTTGTGAGCTTTATAAAGAAGGGAACAGTTGTGCATTTACTTTCAATGCTGCCAGAAGTAAACTGACCGCTGTTTTAAAGTATTTAGTTATGGATCATTTGGGAGTACAGGAGAAAAGGTTGTAGGGACATCATCTTAAATCGTTTCTTGAAAATAGGGAGAATCCAAGGGCGGGGGAGGAGGATGGAAGGAATTAATGCAAAAGAGTTTATTTAGGGGTAAAGTGAGCTATGTAGAGTGCAAAGAAAACAATCACTGCGAAGAGGCGGTAGGTTTCCACTTCACCTATCTTATTTAGAGTTGGCTTGGACAAAAAGAAGACAGCTCTGATCCTGGTCCACAACTTTGCATCCATATTTTTGCATCTGTTATTTGAAAGGTAGATGGGAGAAATGATCAGCACTTCAATATTCATAAAGCAGGTTTACTGGTTTTAAGAGATGATTTATGGGCTGGAGATGTTGCCTCACAGTATGGGAGGCCATTGTCGGATTCCTAATAATCAACCACACACATACACACACACACACACACACACACACACACACACACAATGATGACTAACATTACCATATTGGTATTGTACCTCCTCTTCTCTGAAGAATTTCACTCAGAAACTTGCTTTTCTATAAGAGTAGTGGTGCCTATTTCTAACTGTAAAGTACTTTGAAAGAAAGAAAGAAAAAGACTGAAGCAGACAACCCCACAAATTTAAAGTAATTTTGAAGTCAGGCTTGGTGGCACACATCTACAATCCTAGAACTCAGGAGGCTGAGGCAGAAGGGTGGCTAAGAGTTGAGATTGAGGCCAGTCTGGACTACAGAGAGTTCAAGGCCAGTCTGAACTACATGGAGAAACCTGTCTCAAAAAAATTATTGACTTATTTGTATATGTGATACATAATAAATACATTAACTGTGGGAAATTGGTATATATATAATATATATACATACCTCAATATCATGTCTTGATCCTTTTTACTTCCCCATCCCTTCTGCTCCCCTAAATACTATTAAATATATTTTACAATTTTTCTTTATTTTAAAGTGGATCTGAAAAATAACATTTTCCACACTGACCATTAACTACAGAGATCTGGCCTCACTCTTTGGAAAATGTTCCAAAAGATTTGGGGGTTTAAGGCAAATGAATACTTAATTTTCAATGGTATTGGCTGAGCTCTTGAAGCAAAAGCATTTTCAAATAGGGTAAAGTCCAATCAGCAGCCTTCTTTTCAGTTTGCTCCTTGATGACTCAGCAGAGATTAAGAAGTTTCAAAGGTTGAAATTTCAACCCCTTCTCCTTTTGCTGGTTCAAGGTGTAGTAAGTTGAAAACCTCAGCAAACAAAACAAAAAAAAACACACACGCAAAACTAGAGAGTGGTGGGTGTGTAAGAGGTTTGCAACAAAAGGAGCAGATGAGACAGGGAATATGTAGCACAAAACTCCATAGGAGGGAATGATTCATGAAAATGAAAAAAAAATAAAAGAATCACTTCTGGTCTTTACTGATTGCCTTAGAAAACACTGAGGGGACATCTTCAGAGGGGGAAATACTGCAGATAGGCAAGCTAGTTAAATATCTCGGAGGCCGTTAGACAGGGCCACCCACAAGGAGCCAACACAGTAAGGAGCCAATATGAAAGACAATCAAGATGCATTTACGGTGACCAGAATTGTAAAAGGAGAGAAACTACTACACCCTTGTGCTTCCCCTAGGGATAAATAGCAGTAATTAATATTCTAAAAAAGTATCAATCACTTAGATGGGGAGCCAAGGTCTTAACCCAGCCTTTCCAGGAAATATCCCTGAGCCCCACCGTTACTGAAAATCTTTGTGTGCTTGCTACTTGACTTGCTCCCCCATTTGATTCCCACTTAATCAATATTACCTGGATGACTGTATGTATAATCTTATTGGTTGGTCATGGTTTTGCCCCTCATGCCCACCTTGTAATTTTCCATTGGGTCTTACAGTTTTGTCCCACTTTGTACCTGCCTCACCACATGGCTTTGCTGTATAAAACATCTTTGAAAAGTGGGGTGAGCAGGCAACCACTTTCTGGTCCCCCTTCTGTCTCTTAGACAGAAGCTTTCTTTCCCTCAATAATTTTTTCCTACTCTTAAAAAAGCAAAACACTGAGGGGAAATTTGGTGGAGTCATTTAACCAATCCAATTCGAAGACTTCTGCTCAGATATCAATATCAAGGGATAAAAAAAATCATCTTTCTTTTTCTCAAATGTGAGTTCTTTCATACAGTTTTCTGGTGCTAATTTAAATGGTTTAACTAATTTGTTTTTGAGATAGAGTCTCACTATGAAGTTGAGACTGACCTGGAACTCACTGTGTAGCCCAGGCTGGTCTTTTTTTTTCTGTTGCTGTTGTGGTACCCAGGACCATTTTTTTTGTTAGCATCTTAATCATCATCTGGAAGCCTGGTCTTGAATTTACAGTGATCTTCCTGCCTCAGCCTCCTGAGTGCTGGGATTACAGGGGTGTGCCACCACGCCTGACTATGGTTTAGCTAATTTCAGTGGTTTTACCCATGTGATAAAATGTGACTGATGAAACGGGTCTTTCACCAAAATCAGTGCAAATTGACAATCCAGTAAGCTTTAACCTCAAGGTTTATGAATTAATGCTAAGGGCATTTATGGGCTCAAATATATTCTTGGGGTAGAATGTGCACCAAATTGGAAAGGGAGATTTGTTGAAGATTGATATTTCTATTTTTTTAGCATTTGGAATTTACAAGTGGTTTATGGCAGTCTATTAATGATGTAATGTAAAAGGAATCCTCCCTCCAAAGGGGCCAATATTCACATTACATGCCTCTCTTTAGGTTATGTTTGTAACATGAACTCTAAATGTGTCATGTGATCAACACTGAACACAGGACAGAGAAAAGTCTTGAAGTAATATGTTGAGAAAAATGATTAATTGAAGCTTATTATATTTTGAATACTGAATTCCTTTTTTAGAGACAGGGTTTCACTAAGCTGACCAGGTTGGGTTTTTGCCTCAGACTTCCAGAGCACTGGGATTATAGGCATACATCACCATGTCCTGCAACACTGAATTTTTTTTTTATCCCTAACTCTATTCTGCATTTATATTGCCTTTATATTTTTAAATTTTGCTCTACATTAAATTTATTTTGTTCTACATTCAAATTTGCTTTACAGTCTACAAATTTTCTGAACAATATATTAATTTTCTTTTTGGGGGGATACAGGACTGGAACACAGGATTTTGTGCTTGTGAGGCAGACGGTGGCACCACTGAACCAAATCCCCAGCCCTATATTAATTTTCTTCCCTCATCAAATATCTTGGATAGACAAAGTAGTTATTCTAAAGATTTTAAAAAATTTTTTGTCATTCTTGGGATCAAACCCAAAGCCTTCCACATGCTGTACAGAGTTCTACCACTGAGTCTAACCCCACCTCTATCTTTAAGATTTTTAAAGATTACAATGCTGAGGCCCAAGGAAGTGTGTTACCTGAGGTCAAAAACCAGGTATTTAATCTACTTGGCAAATACAACATCAGCGGTTTACACTGAATGTTTTTGTTGTTGTTGTTGAAATGGTCTTGCTATGCAGTTCACTCTGGTGTTAAACTCATTTTGTAGCGCAGTCTGACTTTGAACTCACATCAATCCTCCTGCCTCAGCCTCTCAAGTGCTGGGATTACAGGCATGGGCCACCATGCCAGGATCACAACTACAAATTGATACTTTAATTTCTTACCCAAAAGAGAAGACTTTGATAAGGCTCTCTCATGTTCTTAAGTTGGTGTCATAAGTGAACTTTTTAGAGGTCCAAGCACTTGACATCTGCTCAGTGAGACCCGCAGGACTTAATCAGGGTCCCCCAACATTTGTCATCCTTTGCACACAGTCCATTGCTTGGCCATATCCCAACTACTTAGCAGAACTCTGTTTCCAACTTCTGAAAGGCTCTTTCCATTGTTTTGTGTGTTTAGCATGGGGAGAAATCTATCCTTTTAACCAAGAAAAGGGAGTGAGTTGTTTTCCTACAAGCATGGTATGGACATAGAAAGGCTGTGTGTGGCTGACACCTACTGTACAAAGAGGGAGATGGCATGGGGAAGCTCTGCTTGTAACAGCTAAACAAAAACACTGTCATGTTCTCTATTTCTCCTTTGAAACAACACATAGTGTTGTTGATGCAAAAGAACAGGGCACAAAGTGCAGCCACTACATTGCAGTTTCCCCTCAGAGCCAGCGGACAGGACTTTATTTTTGCTTTCTGTAACAGAGTGTGAGGTCTGAGGTCAATCCCAAAGGACCACAGTCTCCCCTGGAGCAGTCTCCTGCTCACACTCCCTCTGCTCCTCTCTATGCCCAAAGTCAGAGGAAACCTACCTTTACGTGGAAGCATATGGCTTATCAGATGGCGGCTTCCTGAGCCAGTGGTTCTAGGATCCTTTAAATGGAAAGCAGATGAAAATTAGTGAGAAAAGACGAAGGCAAACAAAAAGAAAGGTCAAACTGAGTCAGAAAGAAAGGAAGATGAAACAAGAAGACTCGGTCAGTAAAGCCTTTTCAATTTGCCTCTGTTTGCCTTCTGGACACATTCATTAGTTCAAAGGGAGTTTTATCTTCTAGGGTTTATGCAGTCCTAAGAATTTGGATGGAGCCGACCCTGTTTTGTTATGATGGTAAATTAATTCATGCTCTTCTGGAGATAATGATGGATCCTTGTTCTGACACTA